CACTGTGTTGAGTGCAGTGCTGGTTTCTACAAATCAGCTGGGATTTGTGTTCCATGTGACTGCAATGGAAATGCAGACCCTCTGGGCCCGCCCCAGCTCTGTCACCCTGACACTGGCCACTGCCTCCGCTGCATCAACGGCACTACTGGGACGCAGTGCCAGCTTTGTGCTCCCGGCTTCATAGGGGACAACCGCAAACTTAACTGCACCCATCCGAGTAAGTCCAAAACACACTGCTGGGTTGAAGATGATTACAAACGAGCATTATATAGAACTGCAAACCATGCAAAGTTACTTAAGTCAAGGAATAAAAATAATGGGTTGAAATTTGGAAGAAAAGGTCTGCTGTAGTCTCACATGTTTAAAAATAAAATCTGAAATGATTAAATACTTGAAATGCTTTTTCTCCTCAGCTCCCCGAATTATTCCCACACCAGAAGCTACAGCAAAGCACCCCACGTCCTCCTCCACCACAATAACCACCAGCACTACTTTGATGTCTCCCAGAGCAAGAGGGATCCCAGCCTTCACATCAAGCAGCAACACCAGTACCACACTAAGCACCACCTCCACCACCCAGGCTCTGCTGACCAGTCTAAGCAGCCCCACTGACAACACCACAGCTGCCCTGACAGAGGTCACCTGGACTCAGTTCAACGTCATCGTTCTGGCTGTCATCATCCTGGTGGTGCTGCTACTGCTTGGCTTTGTCGGAGGCGTGTACACCTACAGGGAGTACCAGAACCGCAAGCTCAACGCCCCCTTCTGGACCATTGAACTGAAAGAGGACAACATCAGCTTCAGCAGCTACCACGACAGCATCCCCAACGCTGACGTGTCAGGCCTGCTGGAGGATGAGGCTAATGAAGTAGCGCCCAATGGCCAGCTGGCACTCACCACGCAGGGAAACTGCTACAAAGCTTAGCTCTCCATCCATTTCCAAAGCAGTCACCTAGATTTACAGATGACATAAAGCTGCTGGAAAACACCAAATCCAAAGCTCCTTCATGTTTGACAGTTTGTCATTATACTGCTCATCTGCAGCATTTACAGCACCTGGCAACCTGATAGAGAGTTCAAAGCGAAGAGACGCAGAGTTTCCACTTTTTCGTGCGATTTCAGGTGGAATGGGTGATCAGTGAAACGGGGTCCAAAGAAACCACTTTAAGTCTTGCCTGCAGAGGGCACTGCTGGGCAGATTAATGAGGGCCGGTGAGAGGCTGGTGAAAGTATGCACCTGTTGGCTGAAACAATGATTCTGGAACCAGTCAGAGGACTTCCAGGAGCTTAACATTTCAGATATTTTTTAAATGAATTTGTGACTGTTTAAGTTATAACTGAATCACTTGGTATGGTGATTTCAATCTGAGACGATGATTGTTATTTAATGAATTTGTATTCTGTTCTTATTTATTGGTTGGGAGAAATGCTGCACATGTATGCTGTGTTTATTCATGGTGTTTTATCTTATGTGCTGTCAAATGGTACTTTGAACTGGCTGATATGTTTTCATGTATAGTTGGTGTGTTTTGGAGAGAGAGAGAGAGGGAGAGAGAGTTGTAGAAGGAAACAAAGTCTGTTAGCACACGCGTCTTAGTGACCTCATCTTTTGTTTATAGCCTTCTCACTTTTGTTAAAGTGTGCCAGCTCACCTAAAACATCTAAGAGGAGTGTTTTGTTTAAAGAAACTGCAACTGGTATTTACAGACTGCTTTCTTCTGGCAGTATGGTGAGACAGTGACACATACTCGGATTGTGTAAAAGGCCATAATCTTATAATCTAATCTGCTCTTTGCTGCCTTCCTCAGCAAAAGTTGAACAAACCATTTCAATAAGTGCTTCTCATTCTTAGATAGGGTGAGTACTGTGACTCAGATGATAGAGAGTTTAAAAACATAAACAGTATTGTCTTGTTGATACTGTTGTGTAGTGAAACCAACCTGCAGATGTTTAAAAAAAACACACACACATCCTGTTCTCACCTACAATCAAATTGCATCATCTCAAGCAGTGAGTTGCTGTAATATTGATGCAATTTCCACCTGATCCCGGACAGGACCCCACGTTTTCTGTGTGAATATAGCTACCATTGGGTGGGTGTGCTACTTTTTACCATGGTGAATGAGTAAAGCTAATTATGAAACCAACTCCTCAGGTACTGGCTCTTTCCCTAATGTGATCTCTGTAAATATTATTATTGTACAGATGAATGTGAATAGTAGCACTATTATTGTACAGGTAGAATACTGTGTGGACACTGTCACTCAACAGGTTCCCAACCTTTCACTTCCCAGAGCGTGATGTGGCAGTCGACCTGCGGCTTTTTGTATTTTGATTTCTTATTCTCAGTTGACTTTGCCATACACGCAGCTACAGAACTCAAATGCACCCACAACTCATAACAAAGAATTTAAAAAAAGAGCAGTGTAAATAATACCTCACAGTCAGAGCCCAACTCTCAAATAAAAACGGGTTTAACTGTTGTTTATGTCTGTTGCACATCTCTTTATCACATTTTAACAATCCCCTCCTGAGACATAAAAAAAGACTTGTCTCAATTCATTTAAAAAGTACAGAAATATACTCACATGTTAGCCGTTTAAAATTTACACTGCAAGCAGGGTTTTTTAAGCCTTTTATTTTCCACTGTGCAAATTTAAAAAAAATTAAACATTCAGTTTACATCCTGTACGCAACACACAAAGGTTTATATATGATAAAAGGGAATTGTTATCAAAAGGTATCCGGTGACATTCTGAAAAATGTAACATTATTCCTTTCCACAGTGCCCAGTTTGCATTTTCATTACTTACACTACAGTTTCTGTTCAGTTAATTTCAGTTATTTAAACTGCTACATTGCATAAACCAAAGTACGTGGGAAATTCCAAGAAAATATTCCAAGTTCTACTGGACAGCTGAGATTTCATATTGGCTCTGATGATGCAAAATCTTGTTTGTTAAGTTGAAGGTGATTGCAAGGAATCATTCCTTTCAAAGAATGCAAAACATTTACTGTTCACCGAAACAATCAAGGGAAGTCACAATTACAAAGATGAGTGAAGAGGAACTTGATTTACTCACACATTGTTTCTATGTAACTAATGGCCTAATTACTGCAGGCTGACTGCTGCTAACCAGTTGACATACTCTCTTAAATTATTTTTCAAAGTCTTTTTCAACTGCAGGCTACTTAAAATTGCTTAACAACCAACTTACTCAGATCAGTAATCTACAACACTTCATTGATTGATATATTATCAGCTTCTGTTTTCATAGCACTCTGAATTTTTTGTCTATGTAAGCAACTAATGCTGCAGCAGCATTTATTTTAGATAACATGAAAAATTTGTCGTAATGTCATATGACATTGAATAATGTCACATGACATAGGGCACATGAATAATGGAGGACAGATTAAATGCCAGTATGACTACAAACTGCAAATAAATGAGAACGATAGGAGGTGCAGTGTAACAGACTGTGTGTCACTTGGGTGCTCTTAGAATCTCATCTCCGCTTTTCATAGATGATGTTGCGGGAATGGGAATCAGCACCAAGTCTTAGGCCGTGGTCCCTACCCTCAACTATGGTCACAAGCTTTCGGTAGTGACCGAAAGAACGAGATCGCAGATACAAGCAAAATACAAGAAATTATCTTTCTCCCAGGAGTGGCTGGTGTCTCCCTTATAGATAGGGTACAGAGCTCAGCCATTCATAAAGGGCTCTGGGTAGAGCCTTAACTCCTCCACATCAAAAGGAGCGAGTTGAGGTGGTTCGGGCATCTGACAAGGATGCCTCCTGGGCAAGGTGTTACTGGCATGTCCCAATAGGAGCAGGTCCTAAGGCAGACTCAGGACATGCTGGAAAGATTATATCTCTCAGCTGGCCTGGGCATGCCTTGGTGTTCCCCTGCACAAGCTGGAGGAGATGGCCAAAGAGAAGAGGGTCTAGGCTTCTCTGCTGAGGCAGCTGCCCCCATGAACCAGCCCTGCATAAGTCGGAAAAAATTAATGGGTGGATAGATGGAGGTTTCCAGTTCAAATGTTACCAGGCTGTTTGCAGTCTCTTTTAAGACTGCCCAGTGCAGTTTGTGTAACTTGGTTATTGTTAAAGTTATTGTCATCTGGGGTGTCTGTAGCTCAGAAGGTAGTAGTAGTAGGTACTTCCGATCAGTAGGTCACCTACTGATCGGAAGGTTGGTGGTTCGATCCCTGGCTCCTCCAGTCTGCATGCCAAGTATCCTTGGGCAAGATACTATCCCCAAGTTGCTCTCTGATGCATCCATCGGAGTGTGAATGTTGTTAGAAAAGCACTCAGTTTAGTGTCAGTGCTTGGGAGAATGTGGCATGTTGTATACAGTGCTTTGAGTACTCCGGGAGAGTAGAAAAGTGCTATATAAGAATCAGTCCATTTATCTGTAGTTATCGTTCAGGGTATTTTGAGATCTGTAAAGGTTTTTTTCCTTTTCTTTTTTTTTCTTTTTTTGCAGAAACTGTTTCAATGCATTCATAACCATGTGTTTTATACGAGATGTTGTTTTATAGATCCGCTCACAAGCTACACCATTCTCTAGTTCTTTGGAAAATGTGTAAACCTACTACAGCATACCACTAATTATTTATTTATTATGTCTAGACTACACGGACGTGATTACAGCTAGTCTGCAAATTACATCTGGACAAAGGGGCAGATAACAGCTAGCAGAGTGCTGACGTTCATTCGAAAACACTGTCAGTGTCCTCACGAGCAGCTGAAAAACAAAGTCTAGCCAATGGTCATTAATGGGACTGCCATTCACAGCGTGGTCAACAGGAGGTGAGTTTTTATGGTCGTGGTTTTAATCAATCCCTCTCCTAGCATTCGTGCTTTGGTTCCACTAAAAACCAAACTAGCCAACGTATTTCACGGTGTTAGAGAAAAGCCAGCCCCAAAAAAAGAGGAAGTTCGTGCTTGATACTCGATACCCGGTGAAACTCATTTAAAGCGAGACTTGCAACAACGTGGGCGACACCACGCTAATAAATGCGAGGATGGGAGCCAGCGGCTAATCCGGGAATAGCACAGCAGAGGCATGGAGGAAGACAAATGGGGTTTTGAAGTAGGGGAGGAGGCAGTACTTCAAAGCCCGAACACCTCTCTTCAGTTACTGTCGCCGAACGAGACACGAAACAGGCGAATGGCTAAGCTTTTAGCCCTGGTGCTGGTTCTGGTGCTTGCAGGAGTTCTACCTTTACTAATCACGATTTTACTCGGAAGTCAAAGGCATGCACCGCCGGGCAGCCAGGTAACATACCCGACACACTCTTAAGATTTTCCGCCTAGAGCTGCTGCTGCTGAAATATTATTTTAACATTGCTTTAAAAAATCAAAAAGAGAGGAGAATAGTTTAGCGCATATTAAACAATGTAATCTATTATAAACGCAGCTAACTCATACGCCTTTAAATCCTCGGCTGATGCGTTCACGATATGTTCTACTCTTTATGTTTCCAAGCCAGCCGGGTCAAAGTTTATTCCCTCATGCAATGTTTTGATAAACTTGGCTACAGCATTAGCCAAAGCGCGTTGGCGGCGTAATTTCCTCGAAATTATTCGTACTTGTGAGTCGTGGGCACACTGAAGCCAAGCACGCGCGGTAGCTCGACACACACGCACACGGTCAGCAAAACAGAGCGCACGTGCGTGCCCAAATGTTGTTACCGCGCAGCTGTAGTTTGGAGTGCTTAGTTACAGAAACGTACTTGCTTAAAAATGCTGAAACCTTAAAAACGGCCTCTGTAAAAGACACCGAGGAAGAACCCAACCTATCATCTGTGTTAGTTTCGTTGCCTAGGAAAAGGTGCCACAGGACACTGCACTAACCGCTTCTTAGGCTACGTTCACACTGCAGGCGAAAGCGCATCAAATCCGATTTTTTTGACCCTATGCGACCCATATCCGATCATGGTATGACAGTGTGAACGGCACAAATACGATATTTTCAAATCCGATCTGGGTCACTTTCGTATGTGGTACTGAATCCGATACATACCCGATGTTTCAAAAAGCGACTGCTGTGTAAATGGTCAAGTCGCATTAAATCCGTCTTTTACGTCACTGACACAAGACAGATGCCAATTATCAGCGCCGGAGAAGCACCCGAGAAAACAAACGCTTCCTGGCCATCCAGTGAAACTGTTGGGAAGGCAGCGTTGGAGAAACGTGAACATTTTATTTGTACTGTATAATCTGCAGATTCTGACAGAAATCTGCAACTATCCTTTGAAGCACCGCTCCTCTCTAAAACGGCAATAAGGATCATTATCAGGCCATGTGAAAATAACAAAACTTTATAACTTAAAGCAAAATTGGGAAACGTAAAGTCCGAAACAAATCTTTATATTAAGGCCATCAGTCAAACACTACTGTTTGGGTCTAAACAGAGCGCGTTGTGTGTGACGACTTCTTTTGCGCACGCGGGGCGCTTTGAGGGTTCACACTAGAGCGCGTTTGCGCGTGAGCGCGTGGTCCTCAAACAAATGAGGTCATAATATTTCAGTAAATCTGAACTACAGAGTCAGTGAAGCGTCCAAAAACATTTAAAGACATTCATGTCAATCCTGTTTTTGAAACCTGCTTCCTGCAGTAAAACAGTTGTATAATGTATATTTAAAAAAAACTGAGATTTGGAGAGTGTCTCTCTATCTTTTAGTCCCAAACCATTATTTAACCAGGAAGCGAAACTGTTGAAATTGATTGAATATTTCCTAAATGTTCTAACATAGCTCATTTACCAGGCACCTATAGTTTGAGTGTTCCTGTGGTTATTGTTTCTAATATACATAAACAGTGTTCTGCTATTACACTTTGGTGAAAATAGTGTAGGGTAGATTGGCATCGAGTTACATCATATTTTTGGTCATTATAATAAAGTATGCTAAGACTTTGTCTGTTTCCTTACAGCCAACCACGCCACCCGACCTGTCAGGTAAATGTTAATACTGTGTTAGCATGAAGTTAAAACAGAAACGCCATCACCACATTTCAAACAATCTCTTTTTTCATTTTGTGTTGTAGTCAACAAACTAGAAACTTCAAGACATCAAAACTTGGATAATCCAGCTGCCATGCTAACAGGTAAAGTTAAAAATGGTGTGTGTGTGTGTGTGTGTGTGTGTCTTTATCTTATGCTGATTTAAGTTTTTTTCATTAACCACACTTTGTATAGAGCTTATCATAAAAAAAGGTTCTGTGCCTAAATTATTTGCACATGACTCTGCAAGAAGTCATTCACTTTTACTTAAGTTTGAAGCTAGCTATAAATTATAGACAAGTAGAAACATGAGTAACCTTAGTTTTTTTTTTTCTTCTTCTTCTTTAGCTCCTGTAGGGGATAACACGAATGGGCAGTACCTTCAATGGGCACATGACATCGGAAATGCTTACTGTCACGGGGGCTTCAGCTACTCCAATGGGGATCTTGTGGTGCCCAGAGATGGCTTGTACAGTGTCTACCTGCAGATCACGTATAGTGGTTTAGTGTGTCCTGTCCATAAAAAACTGATGAACAAGGTGTTGCATAGTTCAGAAGAATACAGAAATGATATGACTCTCCTCTCATCGATCCACACAATGAGCTGCAGCGAAGATGTCTGGAGTAAATCCCTCTATACAGCTGGCTTCTTTTTCCTGAAAGCAAAAGACAAACTACGTGTGATGTCATCACATCCAGATTATATTACCAAGGCAGAATACGAAGTGTTCTTTGGCGCTGTGCTTTTTCCTCACTAATATCTATATCACATATATCAAGATTGTTCGATCTTGAGGATGGTTTTTAGCCTCTTCTCCAGGAAAATCAGTGTATTTTATGGTTTCCCCTTTACTCTTTTTGCTCATTAAACATATGCAGCTACCGATTGATTAACAGCAGTGAGAAGCTATTGAACAAGCTATGACAGTGGGTTAATTTCACCCTATGCAAGTTATAAGCTGCATTGTTTTTTACTCATTAACGACAGCTCACTTTACATACTGCCTCCTAAACAGTGGTTTCCTGGTATAAAATATAATATATGTCCTTGACAGCACCTGACTCGTATAACTGCAAAACTCATCAATTATAGCTGCCTTCTTATTTTATATGTGTGGAATTAAAATATATGGGCGATTGTGGCTCAAGAGTTGGGAGTTTGCCTTGTTCTCCCGGTCGCCGGTTCAAGCCCTGGCTTGGACAGTCTCGGTCGTTGTGTCCTTGGCCAAGACACCCGTTGCCTACTGGTGGTGGTCGGAGGGCCCGATGGCGCCAGTGTCCGGCAGCCTCGCCTCTGTCAGTGCGCTCCAGGGTGGCTGTGGCTATATTGTAGCTTGCCATCACCAGTGTGTGAGTGTGTGAATGGGTAGATGACTGGTTGTGTAAAGCGCTTTGGGGTCCTTAGGGACTAGTAAAGCGCTATACAAATACAGGCCATTTACCATTTTTATATATTGTGCCATTGTGATAATTGTTGGTGATGGTCCCTTTTAAAGTGTCTTGAAATATTTTCTCAAGTTCAGTTTAAATTTCTCAAAGTCGAACAGTCTCAAGGTCTATAAAAGCAAAAGAGCCAAAGACATGACCAAGTGTGAACTTTATGTTGAAATAGAGACACTGCTCAGAAGTTTTCGGAAGACGGTGAATCATTAGCCCATAATTTCCAGCCACACATATACTGTTGCCATCATGACTGTATTTATTTCCGGTCACAACTAAGAAGGACTTGGCCTGTTTGGACTGGCCCTAAAAGTGAGTCAGTTCTCATAGATCTTTAGTTCAAAGTCCTACACTCTACAGCATTTAAACATTATGTTTACAGCATTTTAATGAAATAGTTTTGGTCTCTGTAGCTAATTCCTCTCTTAATTTTTCTATAACGCTCTCATTTAAATTGTATCGAGAAGGCCACTTTGCCTAAATTGGAGGCTGATACTTTAAGCTTTAAGGCTCCATCTCAGCTAACTAAAAATGAGACTTCTTGGCTAAATACCATGTATTGTGAAAAATTAGGTTTTAAAACAAGAGATTATATTGGCTCAAAGGACGCCAGTGGAAAGTTAAATGGCCACGTGGTGAATGATGCAGGAAACAAAAAGGAGTGGAAGCATTAGCTGAAATATGAATTTTTTGTACAGTTGTAGATACAGTTGTGCTGTGGTATGCTGATTAAATGCAGCACTGGTTGCTCAGTGTCCAGTCCTGTAGTCATTGTAACATGTTTGTAGTAGTCTAAACCTGTGATGCTCTCATCAGGTAATAAAGCTTAAATGTGGGAATAAAAGCATTTCAGTGCCACACAGCTTTTATTGTGTTTTGATATGATGTTTAAAAGATTTAGCACAGCAGTTTGTCCGTATGAACACTGTGCATCGTTGGTGCCAGTGTTTTAACACTGACGGTGAGAGAATTTCTCAGACTCATATACTCACAGTTTATTGATGTGTAATAGGAAGCATGTGCAATGTTGGGAGGAACGCTTAAATCACTGCACTACCTGCAGGTGTGACTCGAAATGTTTGAGGGATGCTGGATGACTCGGTTGTAGAGTTAGTGATGGATTACATTGTATACCATAGTATTTATATGTGGTAGATTGTAACTATTGTTTGTTTTTTCTACGGGATTCACTGTAAACTGATGAAAACATATATGTGGAACTTTTCACTTTATACTTTTAACCTACGAGTTGCTGCTGTGTGCTCATATACACTTATTTAACAAGCCTAGAAATGTGTGTTTGTATTTAATTATTTAATTCATTGCTTGTAGGGAATTCTATACTTGGTGGTATATAAATCAGCATTTGCTACAATGAAAGAAATTACATAATTTGTAAACTTGTATTTTTGTGCGAGTTGTGGGAATAGTTTCTAAAATCAAAGTTTATGCCAAGACACGATTTCCCGTTTTTTGGTGATCATTACAGATTTGTTTCACTTTCTGACCTTATATGTAAGACATTTTCTCATATTTCAAATGTTTCATGTCCAAAACCAGAGGCTCAGTTTGTGGGAACCGTTTGTCTCCACAAATAACGGTTCTGTGCCTGCATCTGTCAGTGGGTGGAAAGTTTTAGTTTTGACTTTATCTTTTCTCCTGATGAATGGTTTCTTTGGTAAAAGGGAGTGTGTTTGTTGCATCTTCACATCTCTGTAAGATGGCCTAATGTTATGTTATTAAAGCAGTTGTCCATAGTGTTTGCTTTCCTAGTTACAAGCAGAATATTTTTGTAAGACCGCTCCCTTGAGACACCGTTCCTGGGGATTCCTGGCAAGACACATCCACTTAGTCATTGCAGTGAATCACATGTGGAAACTTTTTCTGTTTTTGTGCTCCACTGAAGACAAAGAAAATGTTATTCAGGCCAGGTCACCTTCTTCCATTGCTCTGAGGTCCTGTTCTGTTACTCACATGCCCACTATGGGCCCTTTCAGTGAGGGACTGGGCTCAGCACGGGCACCCTGACTGGTCCTTGGATTAAAGCTCCATAAACAACAAATTATAATGTACTGCACATTTTGACACCTTTCTATCAGAACCATCACAAATTATTTTGGCAATTTGAGCTAATTGGCAAAATTGAGTTTTGGAGATGCCCTGACCAAGGGTTCTGGAGCCAATGGGTGGTGGAGGGGACTCGCCCAGCCTGACTACCATGACATCCAGGTGTTTTCCGTGTTTGCCCTGTTTGATATGAAAAAAGGAAAAACTCAATGCATCATGGGAATCCCCCGGCAGCCTACGTCTATTGCAGCATAACTAAGG